GATTTATAGAATTTAAACTACATGAAATAGTTAACTTCCTAAAAATATGAATATTAATTTTTTTAAACTAATTCTATAAGAAAAGAAACGTCATCCCACACAGTAATAATATGTCTTATTTGGATTTCGAACATGGGCTTTGAATTTAGTTTAAAAGCTAAGAATAAAAATAATATGTTAATTTTCATTAGCATTACTCACGACAATTTATAGGTCAATCTGTAATCTCTAAACTTCTTTATAGGAAACAACTTAAAAAGTTAAGGAATGTAACAAGCATGTATTATTCTAAGAAAAAAGAACAATAAAGAGGACATCACAATTATACAAGGAACCATGAATATGCTATAGTTTTATCTATTATTCATTATTAAACAATTTAATAATTTTGTATGTATAATGTTTTGGAGAAATAGTACACCATTGAGGGGTAATATTATCTATCAATAATACAAAAAGATATAGTTGTTTGTGTTATAATATTCTTTGGTTTTGGTGACAAAGTCACATTAACTATAATTTTATAAAGAAGCAAAGGATGGTCCGTTTCTTACATTGAATTATATGAACTTGGTACTTTTCCTAAAAAATAAAAAAAAATTATATTCAATACAAAAACATAACATTTGTAAATTCAAAATGTTAGGAGTAATTAAAAAGATAAATAAATCATTCATAAGTTTTTATTTGATAAATTGCAAAGTTGCCGAGAATTTGGAATTGCAAATGATTGATTCCTTCCTGAGAAATTAAAGACAGTTTGATTCCTTATTGAAAACTATTTTTCTCATTTATTTATGGTAGGAATTTTAGGGTACTTTTTACCTTTTTTATTTATTTTAGATTTTTACAAATATTTTATTTTTCTTTTAACCATGTAAATTAAAGTGTATTTCATAATTCATATTAGATAAAATTGTAATTATACTCAATATATTTATTTTTTTATTTAAATTAGTAATTGCTAAATACTCTAAAGACAACTATGTTCCTTCTTAAAAAGATAGTAATTTTCTTTTTTGTTCACATTTAGGACACTTTTTTTCTAAAAGAATTATTTCAAAGGAATCAAATTAATAATAAATTTTTTTGTGACCCCTGGCTACTGCTTGGTTGTCACAAAGAACATATTTCAAAGGCAAAAGTAGATACAATTTCTTTCTTACTCATTTTAAAAGAATTATACTTTAATTCAAATTAGTTTTTTTGGTTCTAAACGGGAGTACGCGTTTTCATGGGCAAAGAGATCTAGAAAAGTAAAAGTTGTTTATTTATAGTAAACTTCAATAGTTCTAAATATTATGAGTTTCTACATAATTTAAATAAGGAAATATTTAATAACCAAAATTTTATTTGATTTTAAAATCCTACATATTAGAAAATTAATTAAATTACAACTTCGTCTAATGTGAAAGTTATTTTTAAAAGGTAAAAAAGACAAATAACACTTTGTTAAAAGTCTTCGTGTTAGTCTTAAAATACGCGTGTTGCGCGTGTTTTTTGTGTTAATGAAACAAACTTTTAAAAATAACATAAATATTATTCAAAAGATGTATTTGCGTTATAACATAAAAATTAATAATGCAAATTCGAAAATGATAAATATTAATCACATAAGGGAGTTAGATATAGCGGTTCTTCCTCCTTTATTTTCTTACTTTACTTCATTGTACACAAAAATCATAGGAATAACATTGATTGATATGTAAAATATTCGTTCTAACTTTATCTGAGCATTTATGTACGTGCATTGCATGTATATTCATATTAATTACTTATTATAAGATTTGTGTTAGATAGTTTAACATAAGTTAAAAATTCTCTACCCACATTTTACTTACATTAACGGGACTTCTAAATTGTAGCCTTATTATATCATACCTAAGTAATTAGCCTTATCCTATTCATACCTAAGAGGGACCCGAACTCGAATATTATAGATATAGATTTTTTTATATTTTTAGTTCGATCGTTATCTTGTTTTACATATGATTTCTTTCTAAAGTACCTTTTTTTGCGGCAAATTATATATATCTTCTCTAATATTATTTTTTTGTACAAAATATTGATTAATCTTTATACCATTTAAAATAATTTTATATTTTTAAAGATTGTCATTTGAATTTCTTCATATTTGGACGATAAAAGTGGACAAATATTTGAGTATACATCAAAATCTAAGTCCTTTGACCCAAAAGAAAGTACTGACCGCTAAGTCTAAATTCATATCACATCAATATAATACGTCCATGTTTTATAATCAAAATTATGTCTTACTGCACTTTTTTTACGTAACAATTGAATTACACTTGTGATGTCCAATTGAACAATGGTTCGTTTCTTACATCCTAATTGTTAATTGTAATTGAATTTAGTTAACAATTTAAATAAGAAAATAACTTATATAAGTAAAGAATATCTTAACTTTGTATTTCTAAATATTAGGAGATCATACATAATTCAAATAAGGAAAAAAAATTCAGGTGATTTCAAAGTCCTAAAAATTAGAAAAATTATTTAATTACGATTTTGTCTAGTGTGAGATTTATTTTTGAATGGTAAAAAAGGCGAACGATATTTCGCTAAGGGTCTTCGTGCTTTTAATATAGTGTATATGTATATATATGTATATAGATAGATGAGAGCGCTAAATTTATTCAAACCTTGCACATTTTATTATAAAAAAAGAAGACTCCTAAGCCTAAAAGGAGTGCAAAGTGTTCGACACTACCCTAATGTGAATTTGCAGTATTTTTTTAATTATCCCCATCTTTAATACGTATTTTACTTCTTTTTTGTTTCTTTTAATTTCCTCTTTATAATTTTTCTTTTTTTTCCATTTATTTAATTTTCTTTTGGTGAAAAATCCCACTAAACTGGAGAAATAAAGAAATACCTAAACTTTTGATTTAAATTTTTTCTATTATTTAATATTTAATGAGAATACACACATCTTAGATGTCTTGAAAATTTTAGAATTATACTTATCATTTTATTAATAAAAAAATATTCCTAAATCTACCAAGATGTTCGAGAGCCAAAAACTTATACGAGAACTATGTTAATTTTTTTTTTAAAATTTTATAAAGATTCTAACCCTACAAACGTGGACTTCTTTCACAAGTATGGTTGTATATCATCTTCTACAAATATGGTTATATATTACATAAGGAAAAGTTTAATACATCAAATTTAGTTAAGTCTAAAGTCCTAAATATTAGAGAAATAATTAAAGTCCTAAATGTTAGGAAAATTATAAATTGACTATCTTGTCCAATGTAATATCTATTTTTTAAGGATAAAAAAGGCGAACGACATTTCGTTAAGGGCCTACGTGCTTTTAATATAGTATACGGTACGCGCGATGCGCGTGAATCCTGTCTTAATGAGTATAAACTTTTAAAAAATTGTATTGAGTTATAAAATAAATGTGTAAGCTTCTAAAAATGGTCATGTAAATCCTGTCTTAATGAGTATAAACTTTTAAAAAATAGTATTGAGTTATAAAATAAATGCATGAGTTTCTAAAGATGATCATGACTATTTGTTGTGTATAACTAACTCATTAATTGAAGAAATTATCTCAAAAGTCCTCAACTATCAATAATTCAACTTAACATTTGTTCCAGGTTTGTAATTTTATAATTTTAATTTCACGACAGGAAATTTGAAAATCTTAATAATCATGAAGGATACAACTTATAATATATAAGCAGGCAACTAATAATTTACGAACTTTAAATAAACACAAAATCAAAGTACAATAATAAATAAAAAAAAAAGATATTAAAAAAATAAAGCAAGCTAGTAAGAGAATCAACTATTGAAAGTTAGCTAATGAACCCACTTATATTTACCTAAATATAATGTATCATCAATTAATAATTAAAAGATCTCATAAATTATCTTGTTATTTTGTGCATACTATTGAGTTCTGTTCAACAATCTGCATAATTGTAATAGTTAATTTAGAACTTTTAAAAGTTAAAAGTATACTATTGAATAATTTTATTGGTGTTGTAGTCTTTTATATCTTTTAAAAAGTGAACTATCTATATTATTTTTCAAGAACCCGTACCTCTTCTTTCTTAAATATTTTATTTTTCCTTTACCTATTTATTATCCTTAATATATAATTTTGCTAAGGACTTTCGTGCTTTTAATATAGTATAGATTTATTAAGTGTAAGACATATACAAAGTGAAATCTAATAAAGCTATAATATTATAACTTTCTACATATTTCAAATTGAAAACAATTAAAAATTAAATTCCAATTAATTTTAAACTCCTAAATATTAAACAGGTAACAAAATGACATTAAATGAAGTATTTCTTATAATATTTATTTTTTTTATGATAAAGATCAAATCTGAAATAAAAATAAAAATAAAAGATTAATTTTAAATTCTAATCTTTCTAGGTAAATATTATTTCATTAATAATATTTTATTGGATGGTAATATGTACTCACGATTTTTCATTTACTCAATATGTCAATGACTAAAGGCTAAAAATTAGGAGTTCTTGTTTAGTTTAATAAGAAAATATTTAATAACCAAATTTTTAGTTATTTAAGTGTCCTAAATATTAGGAAAGTAACTTAAATTATAATTATGTCCAATATAAAATATATTTTTAGAGGGTAAAAAATGCGAACAACATTTCGCTAAGGGCCTTCGTGCTTTTAGTATAGTATAGATAGATATAAAGAATAACTTAATTAAATAACAATTATATTAATGCTATTAAATGGTTCTCTTAATGTATGTGTCAAAAGCTTAGAAGCACTTCTTATTTTAATAACTTGATATTTTAAGTAAAATCTTATATTAACAGTGTATATAAATTAAGAAAGAAACTTTATAGATTAATTAGCACAAACAAAGCATAGTATTATTGGACCAAAAAAAAGTATATTATTGGGCCCATGCATGGGCCATCCAGTATATAACTATAAAAGAAGCACGAAAAAAAAATATAGGAAAAGGTAAAATTCTGGCCAACCGTGCCCTTGTTTCCTGCCAGAAAGTTCCATTGTATTTCGTTGAAGGATTGTAGTTGACTTGATTTCCCTTTACTGAAAAATCATCCCTCAATTCTTTCATTCTCATCAAATCAAATGGATACTCAATTAGTTAGAGGAGAATCATGTACATCTTCTCACATCTCTTATGAAGTATTCCTCAGTTTTAGAGGTGAAGACACCCGAAAAACATTCACCGGTCATCTTTATTCCAAATTGTCTGATGTTGGAGTTAATACCTTCATTGATGATGAGGAATTGAGAAAGGGTGATGTGATTTCAAGTAAACTAGAGAAAGCAATTGAAGAGTCAAGAATTTCCATTATTGTTTTCTCAAGAAATTATGCTTCCTCTAGTTGGTGTCTAAATGAGCTAGTTAAAATTCTTGAGTGCAAAGAGAAATTAAAGCAGATGGTTTTGCCTATTTTCTACGATGTTGATCCTTCTGAGGTACGAAAGCAAACAGGGTTATTTGATGAAGCTTTGGCTAAACATAAGGAACGACCATTTGGAGGTCAAATGGTGGAGAAATGGAGAGCTGCACTTACTGAAGCAGCAAATTTATCTGGATGGCATTTGCAAAATGTTGCTGGCGGGTATATTTTCTTGATTCAACTATATAATTTCATTTGTTATTTGTTCAATTGTTTATAGGATGTGATACTAACTGTTCAAAAGAGTTTTAAGTTCTATATGACGCGGTAAGTTATCTGTTTAGTTGCTTAGATTCATCCCACTGTGTGTTATGTCTTGGCTATCGATTTTGATTTGTCCGTCAAATGTTTTCAAATATCAAAGTTTTATTTACTGGAGTAGTATTTCTTTTAATTTTTTGTTTTTGCTAAAAAATTCTGTAGGCATGAATCAAAGTTTATTGAAACAATTATACAGCAAGTCCTACAAGAGGTCAACCAGACACCTCTAGATGTTGCTTGGCACCCAGTTGCAGTAGATTCTAGTGTCAAAGATATAGAGTTGTTATTGCAAATTGAATGTGAAGATGAAGTTCGCATGATTGGTATTCACGGACTTGGTGGCATAGGGAAAACAACTCTGGCAAAAGCTATGTACAATCGAATGTTTCGACTCTTCGATAGTGGTTGCTTCCTTTCAGATGTTAGATCAGAAGATGAAGAATTTGGTCTTGTCAAGCTACAAGAGAAACTTCTTCAACAAGTTCTCAAAACCAAGGACATCAAAGTTGGGAGTGTTGCTCAAGGCGTTAATCTAATCAAAGCAAGACTTGGGTCAAAGAAGGTTCTAATTGTTCTTGATGATGTGGACCATAAAAGACAGTTAGAAGCCTTAACAAGAGAAAGAAGTTGGTTTGGTTCGGGTAGTTTAATAATCATTACCACCCGGGACAAGCGATTGCTACGTCGGCTTGGAGAAAAGGAGAGATATGAGGCCAAACTATTAACTGACAATGAAGCTATGTCACTTTTTTGTTGGCATGCTTTTGATAATCATTTTCCACCAGAAGATTATGTTAAATTGGTACACGGCATAATCGAATATTCAGGTAGGCTACCATTAGCTCTTGTGACATTGGGGTCACATTTACAAGGAAGTTTGGCAGAAGAATGGGGATATGAATTTGAAAAACTAAGAGCAATTCCTCATAGTGATATCCAAAAGATTCTCAAGATAAGCTTTGATGGACTTGATGATGAAGCTCAATCTGTTTTTCTCGATATTGCTTGCACCTTCCATGGGTTTGATGAGCATCAAGTTAATGAGATATTAAATGCGTGTGGCTTTCATACTAGAAGTGCAATTGCAACTTTAGTCCAAAAACACTTGCTCCGAAGATCTTGGAATCATTTGTTGGTGATGCATGATCTAGTGCGAGATATGGGAAGAGAAATCGTTCGCATGGAATCACCTCGAGACCCTGGAAAACGGAGTAGATTGTTCATCCCTCAAGAAGTTTGTGATGTTCTACAAGGAAATAAAGTCAGTACATCTTTTTTCCTTTATCTTTGTTATAATATATTTTTTTTCAATTGAATTGTTTATTGCTTATAATTTCCGTTGTCATCATAAGAAGTGAATTCATTTTGTGCTTCATCTCTGGTTAGTAAGTATTTTGTAGTTGTTTGTCAACCATTGTAAACTAGAAGCAACATTTGCTAAATGCTTAACTCATACCCAAGGCAATTTTTTTTTTTTTACCTATTTAACAATTATCCAAATTTGGTGATGCATATTTCTTATTAAATTTTTATAACTAACATGCTTATGGGCATCGACCATAGTATCTCCATGATTAGTTATCCAAAGATATTTGACTTTACTTAACAAAATGCGGAAATTAAGCTTGCTCGAAGAAATGAGGCATGTGAACTTAATGAAAGCTGCTAACCAGTTTGGAAAGGCTCTCATCTTAGCTTTTTGAGCAATTTTAAATTTGTTTAACATCCTCTAATGTGTAAGTTCATTTTTGTTGATACATGGTGTATTCTCTTTGTTTGTCCACCAATTCGTATAAAGCATTTTTCTCGCTTAATTTCTGGGACTTAACATGAGCTTTAGTTACTTTTCTTTTTACTGAGTTGCAGGGTTCCGAAAATGTAGAAGTACTGAAGGTAGATCGAGAGACGTTAAAGGGAGTGCACTTGAGCACCAAAGCATTTGAGCAAATGAAGAACCTTAGGGTGCTTATAACCAATGAGTTACATATTAGTGGAGATTTTGGGATGTTGTCCAAGAAGCTCAAATGGTTGTCTTGGCGAAAATGTCCTTTAAAATGTATACCATCAAATTTTCCAGCTGAGAATCTTGTAGTTCTAGATATGCGGAAGAGTGATATCCAAGAATTTCAATTGAATTTACAGGTTTGTTACTCAATTTTACAATTTTATGTGTACTGTTATTGCCACTGAATGAAAGAAAATATTAATTGAAACTATATTTGGTTTACTTTTAGTGTTGTAGAAGTTTAAAGAAGCTGAATCTCTCTTATTGCGAGCAACTAAGAATGACTCCAAACTTCAACGATTCACGAAGTCTTGAGACTTTGCTGCTTGGTGGTTGCTCAAGTCTGACAGAGATCCATCCATCAATAGGAAATTTGGACAGACTAATTAAACTAGATATGTCTCGTTGCGAAAAACTTAGGGATCTTCCAAGCAGCGTATGCCAGCTAAAATCCCTTGAAGAATTGTTCATTAATGACTGCTCATCAATAAAAATACTGCCAGATAACCTTGGAGATGTGAAAAGTCTAAGATCTCTTAAAGCATATGGTACGGGTATAAAACAATTGCCTAGATCCGTTGAAATGCTAAGAAATCTTGAAACTTTGAGCGCGGGAGGTCAAGAGTTAGAGGCTAAAAGGAATATTCCTGGAAGAGGTGTCCATCGGATACAATATTCCTTGCCAACTTTTGTAACCGAATTGAGCCTTATATACTGGAATTTGTCCTATGCTGATATTCCTAGGGATATTGGGAGCTTATCCTCCTTAAAGTTTTTAGATTTGAGTGGCAACAGTTTCCATTCTCTACCCTTCGATTTTTCTAAGTTACGAGTATTGAAGAAGTTGTATTTGAATGACTGTGAGAATCTTCACACACTCCCGTCAGTATCAAATTTAGAGAATCTTGGACATCTTGAACTTCAAAATTGCAAAAAATTGGTCAAGATTACACAGTTGGACAACCTCCCTTCTATACGGTTGATTAACACGAGTAATTGTAGTTCTCTGCAGAATCCATTCAATGAAGGCTTCGCTGCTCTATTAATTCCATTTAGAGGACATATGGTTAGTCTCTCTCTCTTTCTCTCTCTCTCTCTCTCCTATATATCATATTAATGATCTTGAGTCTTTTGTCTGATGCAGGGTTATTTAGAAACTTATCTGGAATGCAATGAGTTTCCAGAATGGTGCAGCAATCAAGTAACAGCTTCATCTATCTGTTTCACTATGCCGACACATAATAATGAGTACAACTTCTTAGGAATGGTTCTCTGGTTTGTTGTCGACGCTTTGGATGTAGCCCTTAGCATTGCCCATAAAGTGCCTTCAGGTATTCCGTGGAGTCATATTGGAATACTTAATGGACACAGAGAACTGACATGTGTATATTACATATCTATCTTAAATGAACTTTTCTATGGCCGGATGATTAAAGGCAGGGAAAGGATAGACGTGTGGTCTGAAGACATTACCCTAAAGAAGATAGGGATAGATCTGTTATATTTAGACCAAAATGGTAAAGTTATATCTTTGCCGGGAGACGTGGATCATTCTTATTCTAGGGCGATAGATGTCAGGAATTGGCAGGTGGAGATTTTTGATGGCCAGACGATAGATATGAGTATTACATACTTTAATTTGTCCGAGGATGATATTCCTAAGAATATTGGGAGCTTATCCTCCTTAGAATATTTAGATTTGAGTGGCAGCAGTTTCTATTGTCTACCCTTTGATATTTCTAAGTTACGATTGCTGAAGGTGTTGTGTTTGAATGACTGTGAGAATCTTCAAACGCTCCCGTCAGTTTCAAATTTAGAGTATCTTGAAAGAATTGGACTTTATAATTGCCAGAAATTGGTCAAGATTTCAGAGTTGGACAACCTCCCTTCTATATGGTCGATCAACATGATTAATTGTAGTTCTCTGCAGAATCCATTCAATGAAGGCTTCTTTAGTGCACCTGCACTATATGCATCTAGAAAAGATCCTGAGTTGGTTAGTCTCTCTCTCTCTCTCTTTCTCTCTCCCCTATCATATTAATGATCTTGAGTCTTTGTCCGATGCAGGATCCTTTAGAAATATTTCTGGAATGCAAGGAGATTCCAGAATGGTGCAGGAATCAAGTAACAGCTTCATCTATGTGTTTGACTATGCCGACACATAATAATGATGAGTATAACTTCTTAGGAATGGTTCTCTGGTCTGTTTTCGACTCTTGGCATGAATCCTTTTTCTTGATTAGTATAGCAGGTAGAAAGACTTTAATTTCTCCGCGGAGTATACCTGATGGAGGACATAGAGAACTGTCATGTGTATATTACATATCTTACTTAAATGAAGCTTTTGATGGCCAGATGATTAAAGGCGGGGAAATGGTAGAAGTGTGGGCTCCAGATTTTACAGTAAAGAAGATAGGGATAGATCTGTTATATGTAGACCAAAATGGTAAAGTTATATCTTTACCGGGAGACATGGATCATTCTTATTCTAGGGCGAAAGATGTCAGGATAGAGGTCAGGATCAGGAATTGGCGGGAAGAGTTGCTTAGTTTGGCAGACACAATAAGAGAAATTTGAAAGAATTGAAATTGAAAATTGCCAAAAATTGCCCCTCTTATCTTTAAGGGATAAGAAAAGTTGTATGTAATAACATTTCTTAAGAGACATTACACAAGCCCATTAAATTTATATTTCACGTCGAAAGTTATAGATGGGCAGAGATGATGTTTCCGCCATACCCTCGACTTTGAAAACTGACTTAGACAAGGAAAAACTATAGATGATACTTAATTACTTGGTGTAAAAATTCTGAAAACAAGATGAGGAGCCATTTGTAATGAAAAGATGTAAAGATGAGGAACAAGAGGAGCAAATTTAAAAGGACAAGAGCAAGCTAAAATGATTGATGTGTTGTTTTAAGGTACAATACAGATATATGTTTCACTAATAGAATACACTGGACATTCAGTAGCTAATGTAACAACATAGGACCAGAGTCACCAAACTTTATTCTTGATCAGATTTTAGCCACTTATATCCAAATATCAGAAGTGCAGTCACCACCAGGATACCTCATTTCATGAGCCAAGGATGGACCATCAGGTTCTGCTCCAAAGTCAACAAAAAATTTCGGGTTTATAGCAAGGCCACCTTTCTCAGTGTCAACGTCGATTTGTAATATGTGACCTCCTTTCTCCAATAGCTCGGGGTAGAATTGACGGCCCCATGTTACTAAACAGTGAGTTTGTGGCGTACAAACGCTTCCCGTCTAGACTCAACTGTATCATCTGAGGTCCCCCTCTCAACCGATGTCCCTGGAAGTAATGCAGAAAGTCGTTTATATTGATTGTGCTCATGAATCTAAAATAACACTCGGGACAAAGGGGTAGATGCAAACAATCTAAGTTAATAACATCAACCATATTTGAGTTCTGCATCACAGATGAGACTTGAGAAGTAAACAAAATGCTAAAACTTGACAAAATGAATTCATAATTTCCAGATATAAGTAGTGAATCTGGGAGCAACATATCATATTTTTTTGAGAAAGGGGCAGGGCAGCCAGTGCACTAAGCTCCCGCTACGCGCGGGGTCGGGGAAAGGGCCGGACCACAAGGGTCTATTGTACACAGCCTTACCCTTCATTTTTGCAAGAGGCTGTTTCCACCGCTTGAACCCGTGACCTCCTGGTCACATTGCAACAACTTTACCAGTTACTCTAAGGCTCCCTTTTTTGAGCAAGCGAAAACTAAAAACTTGTCATTTCCTGCGGCATTACTATAATTATTAGATGTCAATTTTCAATTCTAATTACAACCAAACCTTTCTATAACATTTTATATAATAGCCATTCACGATAAAAGCCAAGTTTTTCTCGGAACCGATTTCTATGTTATGTTAATGAGTAATATATATCCTCTATAACAATACTTTACTATAGCAATCAAAAAATATCAGAACAAATGAGTTATTACAAATGAGTTATTATAGAGAGGGTTGACTGTACCTGGACTTCTGGGACATCCACTTGGTATGTTGAACCATCTTCAGCCTCAACGACTACAGCGTTTCCTTTTTGAAACACTCCTCCAACAAATTATACTTGGCCAGTCAACTTAGGATTGGCAGGATCTTCGATATTGTACTGTCTAATGTCACCACGTAGCCAGTTTGCTAGGTATAGAAAACGATCGTCAAGAGAGATCAGAAAGTCGGTAATAAGACCAGGCATTTCCGGAAGAATCCAGTTCTGCACCTTCACTGGTTTTACAGCGATTGCTATCTCATGACCCCACGAGCCATCTGGATTCTTGAAAAATCGCACCATGTTACTGGTCAAAGCACATCCCTCATATCCAATTGCTTCAGATGGATTATGCAAGAACCTCACCTATAAATCAAAAGAGGAAAACAAATATATTAATGTATTCAGAAGGATAAATCATGGCGCGAAGTTACAAAGGGGGAAGAGGGGAGTTTGATTACCTCTAGCGGCAGGAGCCATGTGTTTCCAAGATCCAATGTCTGTTTTAGTTCACTTCCAGGCCATGTGTAGACATGCAAATGCTGGCCATAAAGTCCATCAGTAACATGCTGGAGGTTGAAACCTTTCGTGAAAGCGGATGGAGCTCCCCAAGAGGAACTGATCACGGTGTTATGCCGAGGCTGGTACCAGAAGTCATAACCAAAGAGCGGACTATGTCCTGGTTTTTCCCATCTAAAATATAATAACGGAGTCAAAATCTGCCTTGGCTTAAACATTGAGCATAGTCTAGTTTCACTAAAACTACAGGACTTCAAATTTCCTTAATAAACCGTCAAGAGACTACAAACTATACAGTACCTTCCTTTCACATTAAAGTCTGAATCAAGAAGAAGAAATCCGTTCCCCTCAGCATTTCCATCTTTGTCTCCGAGACATGACACCATTATCTCACCAGAAGCAAGGCAGTGAGCGGTGTGAGGGAATGCTAATCCTGTCTTCTGAATCACATCATCTGGCTCAACAACTTTGTACAAACTGGGAGCCCTTGGATCCTTTTGCGTGTCGATTGCATAAATGCGTCCTGATCTGCAAGAGTTAAAGTTATCGAAAAGCTCGAATATCATATAAGTTGTCATCAAAATGGATTCTTTTTTCTCATGAACATTTTGTATAGTCAGACGAATAATAATATGGACAAAAAAGACCAAACAAAGGCTCACATTGATGATACAACAACAACTACATCTTAATGCCAAACATTGACAAAAACAACTCACGTTGGTGATACAAAGGGCAGCCCGGTGCACTAAGCCTCGCTATGTGTGGGTCCAAGAAGGGCCTTACCCTACATTTTTGCAAGAGGCTGTTTCCACGGCTTGAACCCGTGACCTCCTGGTCACATGCAGCAATTACGAAAATGCTTTTTGAGCTAAATTTAGCACCATTCGGTACCTTGGAGGTGATGATGACTAAAGTCTAAAGGTCAATAACAAACACGAAAGCAGAAATAGTGTTCTTACATAAGTGAAGGCAGGACGAGATATCGTCGAGCAGCTGAAGGATCACGATAACAAGAACTGCAAGAATTCCAACCAGAATGATGTAGTTCATCACCCTCATATGGCATAGGCAGCCTATGGATTACTTTGGAATAAGATGGTGAATTAGGACCTACATCTACTGTACAGGGGCGGAGGCAGGGGGCGCAAGGGTGTTCACCCGAACACCCTTCGCCGAAAAATTACACTGTATATATAAGGCAAAATCTATTTGTATCTCTATATATTAAGTTTTGAACACCCTTAACATAATCCAAAAGTGTAAAAAAATTTTTTGAACACCCTTCGTGGAGATCCTGCCTCCGCCACTGCTACTGTAGCTACGTAGTCAGGTTTCCCCCTTCCTGTTCCTGTAGAAATTAATCATATAATCAGAGACGAATTAACGATTTAAACTATATAGGTTCAACATGTACGTCTTTAACATCTAGTATTATAATTTAGTCGAGTGAAGAACTCTAATATTATGAAATGTTATAGAATCTCTGGAATTTAATGACATAGAGCTATTTTGTTGGTAGATTTTGTAATAAACAAGATTTTGAAAGCCATACTTCTTCCTGGCAAGTGGCAACTGAAAGGAAACAACAACGCGCTGGCAAACAATTTCGAGGGAGAAAAGCTTGGAAGTAAAGTGAAGACTAGCTTTCTTCTTTTCAATTTTGTCAAAAGAAAAAGCAGAGAAGCAGAAAATGTACTTGCTCTATAATTGGTGTAATTTTATTTGATTGTAAACCCCAAATGAAGTGATGGCAAATTGCTTGAAAACAACTTAACAAGCATCAGAGCAATTTTTGTGTGTATGTACGTAGTTTACACATCAGTATAAAGCATCCCTTACCAGGAAATGATAGATAAATAGAGATTGACATCAATTATATACCTGGTGCACATATTATGTGGAAATTTGCGAGAATATAAAGAAATGTGGCATCAACACGGTTGAAATTTTCATACTTCACTGTTGCATGCAGTCCAGAAATGGAGCGAGGGAGATAGTGAAGATTTGGTTTAAATTGAAACCGTACCGAACCAAAATAAGAAATACCGAACCATACCGAAATATTTTGGTCCGGTATTTAGTATACACAATTGATAAACTGAAAACCGAAATACCGAACCGAAATTTTTAAATACCGAACCGAAATACCGAATGCCCACCCCTACCCGAGGTAGGGGTAAGGTCTAGCTTTTGAAGTTTTTAAATTTTTTTAAAAAATCCGAAATTCAACTGAAATTTAAAATTTTAATGTACAAACATTGATTACGAAAAATTTTTTAAAAAAAAATCAAAAAAGGTGAAATTGTGGCTAAACGGGCCCCTTGGTTCCTGCCAGAAACCACGAATATCAAGGGAAACTTCCATTGTATTTCGTTGAAGGGTTGTCGTTGACTTGACTTCCATAAAATAAGACCTGTGCTTATATGTAGCTCTGCTTAGCTACTTTCCCTTTACTCAAAAATCATGCCTTAATTCTTTAATTCTCATCAACCCTTAAATGGATACTCAATTAGTCAGAGGAGAATCATCTACATCTTCTCACTTCTCTTATGAAGTATTCCTCAGTTTTAGAGGTGAAGACACCCGAAAAACATTCACTGACCATCTTTATTCCAAATTGCGTGATGTTGGAGTCAATACCTTCATTGATGAGGAATTGAGAAAGGGTGATGTGATTTCAAGAGAACTAGAGAAAGCAATTGAAGAGTCAAGAATTTCCATTATTGTTTTCTCGAGAAATTATACTTCCTCTAGTTGGTGTCTAAATGAACTAGTTAAAATTCTTGAATGCAAAGAGAAACTAAAGCAGATGGTTTTGCCTATTTTCTATGATGTTGATCCTTCTGAGGTACGAAAGCAAACTGGGTTATTTGGTGAAGCTTTGGCTAAACATAAGGAACGATCAATTGGGGCTCAAATGGTGGAGAAATGGAGAGCTGCACTTACTGAAGCAGCAAATTTATCTGGATGGCATTTGCAAAATGTTGCCGACGGGTATATTTTCTTGATTCAATTATATAATTTCATTTGTTATTTGTTCAATTGTTTATAGGATGTGATACTAACTGTTCAAAAGAGTTTAAGTTCTATATGACGCGGTAAGTTATCTATTTTGTTGCTTAGATTCATCCCACTGTGTTATGTCTTGGCTATCGATTTGATTTGTCCGTCAAATATTTTCAAATATCA